AGTCTTCTTCTGAACTTCACTTTAATTATCCATATCTACATTATACACGGAAACTCTTTCTAGGTAGTAAGTTAGAACAATTGTAGGGGATACACCATTTATTCCTCATCTCTCAGTATTCACTGTCCTTTGTTGCCTGATGTCTTGAAAAATATTGTTTCATGTATTTTGTCCTATGTTTTTGATGTTTAAGACAGGAGAATAAATAATAGCATTGTCTACTTCATTTTGTCTTGAAATGCTACTCTGAGAGCAGGTCTTTAATTGAATATTAGTAATTCAACACCGCACTTCCAGAATTCACACTGATAAATGTCTGAAAGTTACCATTGATTCTTAGACCTATAGAACTTGTGAAAAAGGAACTATGTGATTTTAGGATGCTGAGTACCAAAGTGGCTTATACAGGTCTACTTACATTGTATAATGTGTCACATATCACTAGATATTGTGTTGGTCTATTTTTTACTATAGAATAGAATTTACTATGTGATAGGATCTGTCTAGAATGCTCTTCCCAAATGGGTCTTTCAAGAATCTTTTAAAAAGTTAGTCCCAATGCATTGAGGGTCAAAAGTAAATCAAGGGACCAGCATTCATGATTTTTTGTGTTAGATTGTAGCAGTATCATGAATGTTTTTTGGAAAGTTCATTCTTGTAGTCATTTCTAATTTTCTTTTAAACTCTTCAGACCTCCATTCTCGATGTGGGACTATCTAAACTCATACTAGCACAGAGATGCAGTCAGTAAGTTTTGATTCCTAAGTCTGGAATATTAGGTAAGAGCAAGCATTTTAAATGCATTTCCCAAAAGACAATAAATTAGTTTATTCATTGAACAGGCTTTAAAAAATTAGTACTCCATAGGGAGTATTTTGTTGATTGTATTTTGCTTTTTGACTTAGTCTTTAGAAATAAACTTTTAAAATATATTTTGAATGTATAAAGGAATTTTATAATGTATGTTGTTTATATTTTGCAGGAAAAGGTACTTCCCCAAACTTTCTCTTTCCAAATACATAGTCAAGTGTACATGTACACAAGTGCACAGTGCACATATAAATAAATAAAACTCTTAAACTATGGCCTACTTTGCTACTATCAAGAAAATATGTCAGAAACATTATTTTAAAACAGTTCTATTATTTATTATTGACACCAAAAAATTCAAAACACAACTGAATGAATGTGAGTGTATTTGAAATAGACATTATTTTATAGTTTATCCAGAAAAGTTGATAAACACTAAGGACTTTTGAAAAGTCTTATGAGCAACCTTTCTTTGCTCTACCTGTTTAAAACTCTTTTGTTCTTATAGATAAGGCCTGTCTTTGTAGCCCCTAAAAGCCTCTAACTCGGGATGCTACTGATTTCAGCTTTCAAATTGCTAAGATTACAGGTGTGAACCATAATAGCCAACTTTTTAAAACTTCTGTAATCCAAACTTAAAGTATCAGCACAAGATTAGAAACATATTGTATAGCCTAAGAATATTCTCTTGTATAGGACTTAATATGGATAAAGTAAGAATCACAAATTAGAGACAAAGAGATGTGTTATTTAGTGAACAGTATTCAAGTAACTGGTTATATATTTCAAAAAGTCATTTGAAAATATCTTCTCTACCACATTCAAAAGTAAATTTTACCTATATTAAAGAAAAATTACTCGACACCAGTCATTACTCAGAGCCTGTAATCCTAGCTACTCAGGAAGCTGAGAACAGAAGGATCATTGTTGGAGGCCAGCTCAGTTAGAAAATTCCATTCGACTCTTATCTCCAAAATAACCTGGAAAAAAGCAGGGTTGGAGGCTAGGCCCAAGTGATGAGTGCCAACCTAATAAGCATGCGGCCCTGAGTTCAAACCCTAGAATATAACCCCTACCCACATGAATATATCCTAAAAGAAAATGCAGTTGACAATTGAATGTTAAAGATATTGTTAAGCACTTAATGAAGGCAAACCATACAGAAGTAATAAATTCGTATACATAAAATTAAGAACTATTCAACATTAAAAACTATGAAAATTTGGAAAATATTTGCAACTAATATGATGGAGAAATTACATTTTTTGTATTTAAAAGATTTGTACCAATTGACCGAAACACTAAGTTCCTAATGGCAAATAGGCAAAAATGCAGCTGTTAATTCTTTAAAAAATAGGATGCTAAGCATGAAAAATACTCATCCTAAAAAGAACTTAGTAATGCCTTTTTATCAAATTTCAAAGTAGAACTTGGTGATGCCCTTTTAATTTATCAAATTTAAAAATATTCTTGAAAGAGTATATTCATTGCTGTCAGAGCTGTGGTAAGACATATGCCTTTATAAACTGCTGATAGGAGTGGAAACTATTGTAATTTTTAAAATAATTTTGTTGTATATATTAGGAATCTTAGACTATGCTTCTCTATCTAGTGTTTACTGTTTTATTTCTTAAGAATTTACTTTGGGGAAATAAAAAAAGTGATGCATATTAATTTTTTTTGTGGGTCTTGGGGCCCATAGGCTTGGATTCTATCGTTGCGCTCTTCAGCTCAAGGCAAGTGCTCTTCCGCTTGAGCCACAGCGCCACTTCTGGTTTTCTAGTGATTAATTGGAGATAAGAGTCTCATGGACTTTTCTGCTTGGGCTGGATTTGAACTGTGATCCTCAGATCTCAGCCTCCTCAGTAGCTAGGATTACAGGCATGAGCCACTGGCACCTGGCTAAAAGTTTTTTTAAACATGAAAAAAATGGAACTAACTTAATTTTCCAGAAGGAGAATGTTCAGGTAAATCATGGGAAATTGATTGACAGTGTGCATCTATTGAAAATGTTCTTAAATTAGTTTGAAAGCTATCAATGATGATTATAATATTGAATGGAAAGGACACCTTTAAATACTACATATAGTATTATTTAAACTGTGCTAAAATACACATTCATAACACATTTATATACAAATAATTTGAAGGACATAATAGTGTTTTTCTTTCTATTGGAATTTTGGATGGTTTTCATTTTAGAGCAAAATAGGAAAGTTACTGATATAAAACCTAAAACTTAGGGGAAATTTAGCATATGTATGATAGAAGTAATTTCTGGTGAAATCAGTATCTCTGATTTCAAATCCTGAACCTCCCTGTGTTGTGCTAGATAAGTTGTTTAATCTCTCTGAAATTTGGTCCATGTCTAAGAGGCTTGTTAACATCTGTCTTACAGAGTTTAGAAAAATTTAATACCAGAGTAAATATACAGTAATGGCACATAATTAATTACACCTAACTCATACTTATCGCTTAGTAAGTTCCCGATTTGTATCCATAATGAGATTCCTCATAAAGACAAGACAATTTTATGATAAGATAGAAGATTTGATCTAAAATGTAACAAGATGACGTTTCTTCTTTAGAGTCATATGTTTCATGAACATTTTGATTGTACTTGTCCAGAGGTTAAATAAGTAACAAGTATTTATATTCTTAATAAAATTTCAAATATAAGTGATATTGTTATATTTCTACCATTATAATATTTAAACCAGGAACTGGTAGCTCATGCCTGTAATCCTAGCTGCTCTGGAGGCTGAGAGCTGAGGACCACGGTTTAAAGTTAAACAGGGCAAAAAGTCCCTGTGATGCTCTTATGTCCAATCAATCACTCAAAAACCGGAAGTGGCACTGTGTTTCAAAGTGCTAGAGCAGGAGCTGGGGGTTTAGCCCAGTGGAAGGGCGCCCGCCTGGCGGCCGCAAGGCCCTGGGTTCGGTCCTCAGCCCTGGAAAAAAAAAAAGACACAAAGTGCTAGAGCACTATCCTGGAACAAAAAATGCTCAGGGACAGTTCCCCGGCCCTGAGTTTACACCCCACAACCGACAAAATAATAATACTGAAATTAATACCCCTGAAACTTAAATAATAAAAAATATTTTTCTAATGTTTAAAAAAAATAGAAGAAATACCTAAAACTAACTTTACAGTGCTCATTCTTTGGAATTTTACTAGTAGCCTGAGTCTGCTTTATGAGGTGCAGTAGCCATAATGCTAAGTGATGAAGATGCTTTTAAGATTGTGCATTTCTTTTCAAACTTTGAGGTTCCTTAACAATCTAGAGTAACTCATCTATTGAAAAATTTTTTTTCAAATGTGAAGTCCCTGGTAAATTCAAAATATTACACCTAATAGTTGAGTAACTTCCAATTTTTATGTGTAAGTTAACATTCAGGGATGACTAGATTTAAAACCTGTAGTTATAATGCCATCAGATTGCACATAAAACATTTTAGAAAACTTTTTTATATAAATAAATTTGATTCTCACAACAATTTTGTGAGGTATACAGAGTAGACAGCCTTATTCTATAATAAGTAATGCATAGTAGATAGACTTATTAGTAAAAATAATACCCAAAGGAAGGACTAAGAAATATGTCTCTAAATGTGATTTCGAGGCAGTGAATGATTGAGGAAAACAGTGTAATTAAATTGATATACTTTACTAATAGAAGTGTTGGACCTACCACATATGTCAAAGATGAGTATAGAATTTTGCATAGAATTCTGTGCAATAGGTTAGTAATTTAACAACTTCCAGTGGTATATTAGAAGTAGTATAACTGAAAAAAGTGAAATCTCTTAATAGTGTAGTCTAATTGAAAAAAGTGAAATCTCTTGACAAGTAATAACAGTCAAATTAATTACTAGTGTTGAAACAAAGAATCCTGTATACTTGAAGTACCATGAAGGCATTACTATGCTGGTATTATGAGATTAATCATTAGAATATATAAATTATTTGCAGCACTTGGGTAAAATACGAGAGAAACAGCTCCTTTTTCAGTAGGATTTACATGTAGAAATTTCCTTTCTATGTTATAGCTAATAATTATGCCAATCAAGTAAGTTGTTGATTATGCTTATTTTCTGTTTGCCCTGATTTGACACTCTGCTGGTTTCTAAAGAAATACATATAAAAATAACATTGGAAGAAAGGTCACACAAATTCCTATTTTTTATAGGTTCTGTTTACAGAGGAAGATGTGAAATTCTACCTCGCAGAACTAGCTCTTGCTTTGGATCATCTGCATCGATTAGGAATTGTATACAGAGACCTGAAACCAGAAAAGTAAAGCTGTATTTTATTTGAATCTCTTTTCTCTATATTTTTCTCAATTAACTTGTTTAGTAGCATACTGTTTGTATGAAATTATACATAAATTATATAATTACATGAAGTTTATTTGTAAAAAGTAATCTTCATAAGACATATCTTGATTTTAAGTTGGTAATTTGACATTTTTAAACATAGCAAGCTTACAATATTTTTGTATAAATATTTCACATGAAATATTTTATTATATTTTATTAAATGTGAATTTTGATTTGCAGCATTTTGCTTGATGAAATAGGACATATCAAGTTAACAGGTATGTAAATATCTATGCATTAAACCTATTGTTTTATATATTTCATTTAAAAACATATTTTCTTGTCTGTTTTCTTTTACTTATTTAAGTTACATTATATTTCATAAGGAAATGAGGTTCAGTTATAGGCTTAATATTATGATCATAATTTTTAAAAATACACAATAGGAGCACTGACCTAACTTAAATATAGTTATTTAAAATATTTTCTAGGTTAAAATGCTTTGTCTTAGTTTTGGTCTAGACAGAAAGATTTTTCTCATAGTAATCTCATTGAAATATAGTATTCCCTCCTTCCCCCTTTTCTAACTCTTGATACCTACTTATCTGTTCTATGTCTTTATGATTTTGTTATTTTTACAGTAGTATATCAACCAGCATTGTTGAGCTGTAGAACATTTTGAAAAGTATAAATTACTAACTCCGTTTTATCTTATTTTCAAACTTAAAAAATCAATATGATAGCTTTTATTTGTTACTTGATTATTGCTTCATATTTTATTCTAGACCTGAAAGCATTTATTTTGAAAGTGATATTAATCTGAGAAATTGTTAAATGTCCTTTCAAAGTTTCTTTATGAAATGCAGGCTGGTTTCTGTTGGTCTAGTAGTAGCTTTCTTGAGAGTAATGCAGACCATTATAAAATGTTTTAGTGTTTAATTCATTATTTTGCTCCTTTAGGTATTCTTTGTGTACTGAAGTTTTAAATATATTTTTAATACTGTTGTAGATTTTGGACTCAGCAAGGAATCAGTAGATCAAGAAAAGAAGGCTTACTCATTTTGTGGTACAGTAGAGTATATGGCTCCTGAAGTAGTGAATAGGCGAGGCCATTCTCAGAGTGCTGATTGGTGGTCCTATGGTGTACTTATGGTATGCAGTAGTATTTTTCTTAATTATGCCAACATATCATTAAGATTAGAATTTTATTTTAGTTCAAATTTTGAGACATGGCTAATAATAAAGAGGTTCTATTAATTCACAATTAATGTAAAATTTGTAATTGGCTAGCAGCCATACAGTAAAAATTGGAGTTTTAATATTCTAAATTTTTCTAAATTAGCTACTGAAAAGAGAAATGACAAAATTGATTTATAAACCATTCATTTTTGAAGCTTAGAATAGGTGTGGCAGCTTCTAGATTTCATACTTTACCATATAGAATCCTATTACTCAGTTGTTTCAGGCATACCCTAGAAATACTGCCATCCTTTCAAAGAGAGAACTTGTATGTTATTTTTCTTATTCCTTAGTAAATAGCATAGTAGGCATTTAACAGATGCCTGTTGATGCATGTTGACTTAATTGTTACAAAATATGAAGCTTTGAATTTTCAGTGTTAAGTAGAATAAGTAAACAGCAATCAAATTATATAGAATTTATTTTCAAAATCTGATCATTCATTTTGCCCATTTATTACTGAATGACAACCCGTATGACACATCTATTGAAAACAAGCATTTTGGGAAGGTGGTAGGATGAGAATTAATTCCAAATATAGTATTGGCATTTTTACTGACCTAAGACATATTCAGTCTCTTTAGGCAACAATTGGAGTAACTAAACAAATTTCCCCACAATACCTTAGGTAAATTAAAGACAACTTCAGAAAGGTTGAGGTAGGAAGAGTAGAGGAGGTTTAACTTAGGCCCTGAAGAATGTGTAAATTTAAACAGTTTATGAAACAGTTTTGTGATCAAATTAGCAAAGGCTTGAAGAACCAGTTTAACTAGAGTAGTAAAGAATATGGGTAAAGGTGGAAGAAGTAAAGCTGTACACTTCTAAACATTTTCATTTGGTTTTCTGGGTACTAGAAAACTATTGTAGATTATTAAAGAAGATGGTAATTATTGAAAAATCTATTTTAGGAACATTAGCCTTTGTAGCATACTGGAAGCAGAAGAAACTAGAAACAGGGAGACCGAAAAGATTTTCTTAAAAGATAATTGTAAGATTATATGATTTTTATACAGAGGAAATCTTAACAGACATTACAAAGGAAATAGGAGTAAACTTTTAGCAGTAAATTAAGTGACACAAATAGACTGAGGAATAGAGTTGAAGATAGAATATGAAATATATGAAATTCAGTGGCATGAAAGAATGGTAGGTTAATACAAAAGAGATAGCTATGGCAACTGGTAAGAAAATAATTTATTTTTAGCATATAGTGTTGGTTATTGTAGTTTAGTAGCTAACTCCTTAGTTAATGTTAGTGTTAAATTAGGAAAGAGTGGAAAGAAAATCAGAATCCTGTACAGACCTCATTTAAATAGATAGACAAGACAGACAGACAGACAGACAGACAGACAGACAGACAGATAGATAGATAGATAGATAATTTACCCCTCTATTCACTTAATTACTTCATATGGAGTTTCTTTCCATTTTTCTTCTATTTGTCACTACCACCTTTATACCTCCACGCCCCAGTGATGGACCATGACTATAGATCAGGAACGGAAAACTGGACTTGTAGAGAGTTTGAGACTTGACTAGTAGATTTGGAGTCATCAGGTTGCAGATGTGAGTGTGTTGAATGGAGTAACTTACATTTCAAATTTATATAAATGCATAGGGGACTGAGGTTAAAGTGATTATTGAAATAAATTTTGAAATTTAAATATTAGGTTTAAAAAGCTTTAATGATCTTTATTTTTAGACCTGATATTTTTATACCACTATTTAATCAAGCTCTCAAATTAGATCTCTCTAGGAAGAAGTTTTGCTTATACAAAGTACAAATATGTTTTTTATATAAAAGGCATCAGAGCACATATATGCATGTACTTATTACACTTAGTTTTCTACAATTTTTTAAAATTTATGTTCTTAGGAAAGTTGAAAGGCATTACAATGGTTAAATCTTCCTTGGGCATGTATAACTTTAAAATGCTTTGGTATATGTTTTTTTTTCCTTTGCCATTATTATTATTTGCCTTGAAAATGCTGAATTTCTTATCTACAAGTTGTCTGTCACTTTAGCTTTATAGAGAGAATAGGATATCAAAAATTTACTTCCTGGACTAGAGATAAACTTAAGTGGCAGAGCGCCAGGCTAACAAGTACAAGGCCTTGAGTCAAAACCCCAGTACTGCCAAACAAATGTATTTCACACTTAAGTGATCTAATTTTCTGGTGCAATTTGGATCTACTGTCATGTAAATCCTGCATTATATGATGATCCTTTTGTGCAATTCACAATGTTTTTTTTCTAAAAATTTTCATATTTAATGTTTTGCTAAATTCACTGTGTGGTTACTTTTTCCTTTATTTTAGTTTGAAATGCTTACTGGTACTCTGCCATTTCAAGGTAAAGATAGAAATGAGACCATGAATATGATATTAAAGTAAGTACAGACACCATCTTTTTGTTTTTGGGAAAAGATTCTTGCTTTCAGTTTTGAAAAATGTAATTGGGGTCTTCAATTGAGGCATAAGAACATTTGTGACTGCCTGTTCCCTTCTGTGATTTAGGGATATTATTTGACATTAAAAAACCACTTTTAAAAATTCACTTTGAGTTTTCAACTTACAAATATAACTAGAAGTGAATTATTCTAAAATCCTCTTTTTCAGAGCAAAACTTGGAATGCCTCAATTTCTTAGTGCTGAAGCACAAAGTCTTCTAAGGATGCTATTCAAAAGGAATCCAGCAAATAGATTGGGTATTGTTTATTTTCTTAGTTCTTATAACAGTATACTACATATTTGGAGATAGTTACTGTATCTTTACACTTTCCAGGTAAAGTTTGTTTCTTTTTGCTAAATATTTATACCTGGAATTGTACATTTTTTATTTTTATTCGTGAAACAATAAACTCAGATCCATGATGAAAACATGGTCTAGATAATATAAACTTTAAGGTATATTATTAGGTATGTAATATGGATTATTTCTTTTAAAATAACATATAGAATTTTAGATTGTATGTAAAATCCTTTTATAATATTTATCCTTTTGAAGATAACTATTATATGCATCTTTATAGTCTTCAAAATAAACATTATTCAGTTATACTGCTCATGATTTTACCACTTTCTTTAAAGCCTATTCATAAATTGAAATGTGAACCTAATTACAATATATATGCCTGTATGTTAAAATTTTCACTACCGTTTTTCATTGTCATTTTTAATTTGACATAAATATCAAGCCATAAGTTGAATTATAAAGAAAAATGTGCTTTTTTGTATGTTGAATATGCTTTTATTTTACTTGAGAAACTCATTAGCATTTCCTGCTTCTCTGTGTAGTTCAATATGGGCACCATTGAGGTTTTTTTTCCTTATGGTAAATGTGAAAGGAGCAATTAATAAAATGCCAGACGAGAAATCACAGGTGTTTTACTTCAAGGAATCTAAGAAAAGGATGTCATTCCATTTACAGGTAGTAGACTAGAAGCCAAATAACATGATAAATAAATCAGACCTATATAAATTCCTTTTTTTTTTTAGGTTCAGAAGGAGTCGAGGAAATCAAAAGACACCTTTTTTTTGCAAATGTTGACTGGAATGTAAGTTGGATAGGAAGTGTGATATTAATAATATGTTTATATTAAAATAAACAAGAAGCAGGAGTGATAATAACTTCGTTGGTAAATATAATCCATTAATTTTATATTTAGTGAGATATTTTTATATATAGGCTTTGGTAGATCATGATAATACCTTGAGCCAATAAATGAGTGGTTAATATTAGGTAAATTTTCGTTTACTTATTTAAATAGTTTAATACTATGCCCTTATTTGGGGAATAGAAGGAGGAAAAGAAAGGAATGGAGGACGAAAGCATTAACAGATTCTTATAGGTAATGGATTGCAAAGAATTGAAACTGTAATTTAATTTCAGAAAATTCATTGCCACATATTCACACAACTCAGGCTTAATAAAATTATATGTCTTTGTAAGTTTATCTGCTTGGGGGAGGGTAAAAAGGGAGGGCAGAAATGATGAGACAAAGGGTGAACAAATGCTGCAGTGATACTTAGTAGACACTATGTTGAAAATGAACTATACAACTTAGGGGGATGGGTAGGCGGGAAAATCTGAGAAAGCGAGGGAAGGGGTGACACTGTTCAAAAAGAAGTGTTTTTCATTACCTGAATACATGTATGTAACTCCTCTGTACATCCCCTTTATAATAACAACAAAAATAAAGAGAATATGAAAAAGAAACAATGAGAAATTCTGTAGTTATAAAGAGTAATTACTTACGTTTCCCATCTCAGATTGATAATGTTTACCTTAGAAAAACATAATTTATTTGTTTAGTGCATATAATCATCAGAGGTAAGAATTTTTTCAAATACTTAGTTCTAGAAGTACAATTTAAAAGGTTAGAAAGAGAAAAGAGTATTTCAAATTTCAGGGAAGACCTAGAAAGCTGTTCTTTATGATAGGCAATTATCTGGCTTATAGAACAAGTTTGAATAGGCAGTGCTTAAATTATTTATTGTGACTGATATTTTCAATTTATTTTTTGCATATTTTGGTTAATATTTACATGATTGAAAATAAAAAATCACAAGCTAATGAGTATTTTCTTACCTTTTAAATTTAATTTTTGAATTAATATGCATGTAATATTTCTATATATGCACACAGATTACTTTGAACAAATTCACCCATTCCATTATTTTTAATTTTTCTTTTCATTTTTAACCAGTGCTTTCTTTCCCCTTAAGAAAGAAAACTCTCCTTTCCCTCATTTTGTTATTCCTAAACAATTTCTGTTAAATATTTTCCTTTGTAAAATTTAGATTTATTTTTAACTGACAAGTATATATAGATTTTATATCTTTATGGAGTACTGTGTGTGATTTATGCACATGTAATATGCATTTTAAGTGAAAACTTTCATAATCCTTTATTATACCTCTTTGTAATGTGCAATATGGTATTTTTATTTGTAGTCACCTGCTTTTTGGTTGTGACCTGTCACATGAGATCAATTATGCAATTTTCCATTTATGGTATCATATTTTAAGCAAAATAATATTAGATTTTGGTGTGTTTGAATTTTAGATTTTTATTAGAGATATTCAGATTAATAGTATTCTAACGTGTGATATGTTTTTGTATTACCTGTTTACTTCTAGAAATTATATAAGAGGGAAGTTCAGCCTCCTTTCAAACCTGCTTCTGGAAAACCAGATGATACTTTTTGTTTTGATCCTGAATTTACTGCAAAAACACCTAAAGGTAATGCACTCAAGTCTTTTATTATAATAATGATTAAATAAAGCATCGTCAGGCAAAATCCAAAAGAATGGTTAAGTTTATAGAGGGTTTGTTTGCCCTTTCTGGAAATGTAGATCTTATATACACCATTACTTAGGCTCCTATTAAGTAGAATATTTAAATAGGAAATATTTTTATCAAGAATTAAGAATCTAGGGCAAACAATAGCTGTTTTACTTCTTGCTTTGTAAGTATTTTGATGGGCTAATGATTTACAGGATATTCACTAATAGGTAAGACATGAGCTACATTACACCGACTCAGTTTGGAATTTAAGGTGGTTTGATTTAGTGCCATGTTTTATAATTTCATTCAATATATACTAAATGCTTACTAAATGAGCAATGAAGTTGCAGCAATCAACAGAATGGACAAATATTGCCACATGTAATTTTGGTGGTAAATATATACATGATGATTAAGAATGTTAGCATGTTATATCATAATATTCTTTGTAATTCTAATTAAATATCAATATTTAAATATTAGATTCTCCAGGTTTGCCAGCCAGTGCAAATGCTCATCAGCTCTTCAAAGGATTCAGTTTTGTTGCAACTTCTATTGCAGAAGAATATAAAATCACTCCGATTACAAGTGCAAATGTTTTACCAATTGTTCAGGTAATTTCTGCTTAATCACATTGTTCAGCTTAGAGAAAGCTATTGCTTTCAAATATTAATAGCTTTTCAATAGTTTTTAAAAGGTGACTTTTAATCACATTTCTACTTATAACTGAGCTAAAGATATTTGTATATGTTTCAGGGAAAAGAGCAGACCGTAATAACCTTTAATTATATTTGTGTATCTGTTTTTGCAAGAAAACGTTAGAGGGATTTATAAGCATATGTTTTCCTTAGTGTTCTAGAACATCTTCAATTTAGAATTGATTCAGATCCTGTCTAAGCAGTTGTATAAATTTTGATAAAACTCTAGAATGAATTAATTGTAAGAGTAGGACAGAAAATATAATAAATATAATTGAAATGTATAATAATAAATAGAATATATAAAAATATTTTATTCTTCTTAATGTTTTACTTAAATCAGATAAATGGAAATGCTGCACAGTTTGGTGAAGTTTATGAATTGAAAGAGGATATTGGTATTGGCTCCTATTCAGTTTGCAAGCGATGCATACATACAGCTACCAACATGGAATTTGCAGTGAAGGTATTAGCTCTGAGCCTTGTTTGATATATTTAACTTATATTGACACTGATAATTGTACTCACTAACTGACTGACATATTGAATTGAGACCCTTTTGTACAATTTACTTAAGGATAATGAAAATTAGAAACAAAGTGAATTACAGCTTATCTGATAGACATTTTCAGTGAAGTAGTATGAAAAGGAAAATGTGACATGATGAGAAAAAAGTGTGATTTAAATTTTCATTTTGAATTTCTCTGCAAGGCTTTGTTTTGTAGGAACAGCATATTTAATGATTTTTTTGCTTCTAAATGATCTTGTTTTAATTCAGTATGTTAATATTAAGCAGTTGTGACAATTGCAATCACATTTAGCTCATATTAACATTTAGCATGATCTCTGTGAAATGGAATATAATTTCAAAGTGTTCTGGTTTAGTTTTCTTGTTAAATTTCAGTTTGGGAAAAATTTTAAGTGTTAAAATGATTGAGTAAACATTGTTGAATGTTTAAGTATTTGTTTAAAATATAATAAAATTGACAATATTTCAGTCAATTTTAGAAAAGAATATAAATCAAAGAAAATAATTTTCTGTGAGATTTTTCTCCTCTCTGTTTCTTAGATCATTGACAAAAGTAAGCGAGACCCCTCAGAAGAAATTGAAATTTTGATGCGCTATGGACAACACCCCAATATTATCACTTTAAAGGATGTAAGTATTTTAAATCTAAGTATTAGAGTATTAGATAAGTTAATGCATTTATAACCTAGAGTTTTATATCTCTTATTTTTAATGCCAAAATATAGATTCCCTAGATTTTCCACTAAAGTTCTTTTCCTATGAACCCATACTCCTTTTCTTGTAGATGTCGGAATAGAACTATGACAGTGATAAAAGAGAGTATTCTTAGTACTTGTATCTATTCTAGCTTGTTAACCAATTGACACTACAACTGGTAACATTTATTATTACATAATATTATAAATAAAAATGGTAAAGAAAATCTTCCAGTTCTTTTTAAGATTTTACTTTGAATGTATAGCAGTTTGATATTGAATTTCAGATTGTTCCTTGAGTGAAATAGTGTTAGGTGTACGCTTATAGTTCATTAGGTATTAGTTTGTATGTAAACATGTATTAATAGTACCAAATGTTGACTTTCTACATAAGGCAATGTTATTTTTATAGAAGGCAAAAAAAAATCAACCATTACCTTGAACAGTTTTCGATAATACATAGTTTATGTATAATATTTGAATACTAATTTGAATATATGTATATCTAAATATGTGTGTATATGTACACTCACATGCTTTGAATGTGTAAGGAATATATTTCTAAAGAATATGTTTGTACAAGGGTTTGTACTCAGGACCTTGTGCTTATTAGGCCAGTGTTATACCATTCAAGCCGTATAACGAAGCCCTTTATTGCTTTATATATTCATTTTAAAAGAGAATCTGGATCTCAAGCTCCTACCTATGTTTCTCAATTAACTGAGGATTGCAGTCAGTCGTCACCACGTCAGCTTGTTTGTTGAGATGGGAGTCCTTTTTCTTTGCCCAGGCTTACCTCCAAGATTCTCTTGATCTCTACCTCTTGAGTAGTTTAGACTATAGGTATGAGCTACAGTAGGTGGTCAGATATTTTCTTTCATAAATTAATTGAATTTAACATGTATTTATGAGTCCATGCCAATAAGGGACTGACAAGCATATTTACTATCATAATGATATTTAATTTAAAGACACAGAGTTCTATATTCATTTCTATCCTTTGATGAGCTCTGACATAAAACATTATTTAATGTGGTTTCATAGGACTGTGTAGCAGATTGTTTCATTGATTCAAGCTTCAGTACAATATATTTGCAGAAAAGAAAGTAATCTGTCATTTTAATATTAAAAGTTTACTAGCAGAGAAAATTAAATATAATTTTAAAAGTTGTAATTACAAATAATAGCACCTTAAAATACAATATTTTTAATGGGCACTGGTAGCTCAAACTTGTAACTGGTTCAAAGCCAGCCCTGACAGAATAGTCTGTGATACTCACTCTCCAAAATAAACAAAAAAATGCTGAACTACAGGTATGGCTTAAGTATTAGAGTGGCAACCATTAAAGAAAGCATGAGAATTAAGGGCACTGATGAAGCCTGGGAACCAGCACACACACAAAAAAAATTGTACATTCTGTTTTTAGGTCTTTGATGATGGGAGATGTGTTTACCTTGTTACGGATTTGATGAAAGGAGGAGAGCTACTGGATCGTATTCTGAAACAAAAATGTTTCTCAGAACAGGAAGCTAGTGATGTACTGTATGTAATAACCAAGACAGTTGATTATCTTCATTGTCAAGGAGTAAGTTATAGTTACATTTTCCATTCAATTATGGAGCCTATTTATTTATAGTTCTATATATACTATGTATACCTATATGCACATGTACATATGTGTACAAATACTCATGTATTATACACCTGTGTCTGCATATATTCATTTATGTGGATTCATATGTATATACCATATATATGTGATATCACTCAAAATGATTTTTTTCTATTACTTGCATACTTTTATAGAGAATATACAAAAATTATAATAGTGAAGCTTATGGATTTAGAAAACTGATACTTTATTCTCCTCTCCTTGCTGTTGACCTTGATTTCACAGCATATTAGTTTGAAAGTGGCTTGAATTGTATAAGCATACCTTATCGTGCCCTTGAAATTATTAAACTTAAACTTAAAAGTGATACATGAAAGAAATATCCAAAGATAAATTTTGAATGTTTTTGAAATGATCCCACCTAACATATAAAACTCTACCAGCTAAAAAGGCTGACCCTTAACCAACCCCTCACCAAATATATTAAAGAATTTTGATTCTAATCATGTGTAATGTTAATATATTGAATTTTGTTTTGGAAGACTACGCTTGTTACTTTGCTTCTTTTCTCTTTATAAAAAGTTGACTTTACAAAAAGTCAACTTTCATAAAGATGTCCAAGCAAACAAGGTAGCAAAAACATTAAAATTTTAAGTTCAAATCAGTTGTGATACTATATACAAAGAATTATGAACACTGCAAATGATTTCAGATTTGACACAGTTCAAATTAGATATAAATTCTTCTTACAATTAGTAAATATAAACTAGTAATTTTATGTGGCCTACATTTTCTGGACTGAAATACTTGTACAATACTAAAGAAATACAGTAGTTCTGTTGTCTCTTTTACTATGTGTAAGGACTGAACAGGGTGATATTTTTTAGAAAAAAATTAAGGATCTTTTCTTTGATGTATTACTTTGTGAATCATCTGTTTTTTTAATCGGTTAAGTAAGTTAGTAACACATTTGAGCATTTCTACATGACAGAGTATAAAGGGTGTTAGAGACTCAAAACAGAGTAACGGTTGGTCCCTTCCCTTAAAGAACTTTAAATGATGAAAACTGTTATCATGTTAAGATGAGATTAAGTAGATAAACATAATAGAAAAATTATTACATAGAAAATTTCAGAATTTCTTTTAGTTTTACATTTTATTTGGCCTTTCTTCATTGTTTCATTTTCTTCCTGCTAAGACATCTTATTTTTGGCTTATTGTGTCATGGATTAGAAACTTGTTTTGTTTTTACTTCATTGAAAATAGATAGCTGTTTTAGCTGGGCACCAGTGGCTCATGCCTGCAATCCTAGCTACTCAGGAAGCTGAGATCTGAAGATCGTGGTTCAAAGCCATCCTGGGCAGGAAAGTCCTTGAGATTCTTATCTCCAATAAACCACTCAGAAAACCGGAAGTGGCGCAGTGGTTCAGGGGGTAGAGTGCCAGCTTTGAGCTGAAGAGCTGGGGGACAGGGTTCAAGCCCAGAGTTCAAGCCCCATGAGCCAAAAAAAAAAAAAAAAAAAAAAAAAAAAGCTGTTTTAAAGTTCTTCCAACTTGATTCATTGAGAATCAAAATTGATTTTTTTGCTGTCAAGTCTAATTTGTTTTCTTGGTTCTTGTCAATTAGATAATTTGGATTCTATGATGATAAGTTACATACATCTGTAAAAAATAGAGATGTATAATTACTATTTTATCCAATGGTGGTGGTTATTTTTTTAGAATATTATTTTTAATTATTCAGGGTATCTCAAACTTACATTAGGGACATGAACATTTCATATTTTTAAGTGGGTCTTTTTTAAAAAACAGGATTTGAACAAAAAGTGTTGGTTTGGGACCAGAAGCACTGGTTTCTTGATATGTTTGTGTTTGTATGAACTGTTTTGATCCCTTTCCACACATTTTTATTCAGAGATCAGTTCTGCCTCTTTCCTTTATAGTATGTAGATAGGAACTGCACTTAACCTCAGGCTAAAAGAACCTACTCAGGGCTGGGAAGGTAGCTCAGTGGTAGAGTGCTAGCCTTGAGTTGAAGAGCTAAGGGACAGTGCCCAGGCCCAGAGTTCAGGCCCCATGACCGGCAAAAAAAGAAAAGAACCTACTCATACAAATACACACACACACACACACACACACACACACACACACGTGCATATATAAGCATATATATATGTGTGTGTATGTATATATATATATATATATATATATATATATATGATTGAGTCTCAATGTCTGTTCACCATCTTGTAGATTTAGGCATTTTTTGTATTTATATCCAGGTTTTATAGTTGTAAGTAGAGGGAGTAATGGGTAAGGGCTCAGTCATTTATATCCAAAATTGGAACTGAGACCAAAATTGGAAATGCTTAACAAAGCTGATGCCTTGATTATTTACATTTGAGATCTTAGACTGGAGGGAAGTTCATTTCCAAGATTTATAATTGAAAATTCCTTTTTTAAAATATACTAAAGTGTTTTATGCAAATATTGTTGTTTTCTTTTATGTTCAAGGTTGTTCATCGTGATCTTAAACCCAGCAATATTTTATACATGGATGAATCATCAAATGCAGATTCAATTAGGATCTGTGACTTTGGATTTGCAAAACAACTTCGAGGAGAAAATGGGCTTCTATTAACTCCATGCTATACTGCAAACTTCGTAGCACCTGAGGTATTCTTTCATTTTTCCTTGAGTGTATAACACTCATGTATATTTTGTAATAGACATATAAGAACTGAGTTTTCTTGTCATTTCCCAACTATTAAGATATTTAAATCAATAAATTTCTATAATACCTTACATAAATATTCAGATAAGTAACTAGCATCTAAAACCAAACTAAGCCTAATAAAGAAGTTATATTCTAATTTCAGAATCATACTTTTTTTAGACTGGGAAATAGGGTAGAGATAGTTGCAACTTCAACTTATTAATATTCTAAATAAATAAACCAAAATTCATAGTACTTAAATAATTTATTCAACACCCAAGGGTCATTTAATAACAAAGTCATATATTTTAGTTTGTGCTAACTGAATATGAAATGATTTAAATAGCTTCATATGTAATATATAAGAACAATGCCTTCCCCATTGTCTTTAGTATCTTCTGTCTGAGAAGCTAGGAATTTTTTTAAACCAATGGGGATTTTTTTCTTTGGTAAATATCATAAAAATGACAATCATAGGGGGAAGGATCAGGAAAGATAAAGCTAGAAGAGGCTCACGGGTGCAGATTCACATTTGGGAAGCTCCAGTCGTTTTGCCTATGAGAAAATGGTATTGGCCATATAAATTTTATTTATAAATCATCAGCAGTTTTTATGTATGATTGATAATGAGGGATTTAAATGATTGTGTCTTCAATACAAACTAAAGTTTCTAAAACTCTTCAGGTGTAAAAAAATTGAGTTTACACAATCAGAAGAGAATCACAATAATGTAATTTGAAGATTAATTCCTATCTCATACATATTTTATGATTTAATTGTTTTGTATCAAATATTAGCCCTTTATAGACTAATGTTGTATTTAACAAATCTATCTATATGTGGTTGTAATGGGAGTTTGGGTTCAGAATTGTGCTTGTGAGGCAAGTTGTCTACTACTTGAACAATGTCCCCAGCCTTTTAGTTTTAGTTGTTGTTCAGGTAGGGTCTCTTAAGGTTTCTTTGCTCTGACTGCCCTAAAACAGTGATCTTCTAAATATCCACTTCCTGAGAGCTAAGATTATGGGTGTGATTCACTGGGCCTGAACAATGAATCTATATTTTAAAGTAGTTTTTAGAAAAATAATTTTATGGTAAAAAAAATCAATATAGGAAGGTAATTTTTCTGATACTATGGATTGAACCCAGGACTTCATTCATGTTAGGCAAGAGTTTTACCACTTGAATCATGCCCCAATCCTGGAAGAATACTTTTGTTGAAAATTCTTATTTAAAAATGTTTAAAATTTTCTTTAAATTGTTGATATTAAAGAATAGGCTTGTTTTTAACCAACTTTTTTTTTTGGGGGGGGTCCGGTCGTGGGGCCTGAACTCTGGGCCTGGGCGCTGTCCCTCAGCTCTTCAGCTCAAGGCTAGCACTCTACCACTTGAGCCACAGCACCACTTCCAGCTTTTTTTCTTTTTGCTTATGTGGTGCTGGGGAATCGAACCCAGGGTCTCATGCATGCAAGGCAAGCGCTCTACCACTGAGACATCTTCCCAGCCGCTTTAACTAACTTTCTGTATTAAGTGATTTTCCTGGGAACTGTAACACAAGAAGAGTCAGTCTTGTGTGTAGTGATGCATGTGCACTAATCTCTTTTCTTCCTGGAAAAAGCGTAGATATTCAGACCCTTCCCTATAAAATGATTGTGTATACTTATATTTTGAGCTACTCTGCCTATAGAGTATTCTGCTGTGCTTCTGTTCTGTAATAAATCTTCATTTTACTTTTTTGCAGAAAAATATAAGATACTCAGTTGTTTTATATATATATATATGGATATGTACATAGATATGTGTCCATAGTATGTAATTTAATCTGTAGATAGTTCTATATCTATATCTATCCAGAGTATATGATTTAATCTATAGATACATATATCTATATCTGATTTAATCTACATTTTAATTAAGTACCTAGAACAACACATTTTGATCACATAATCCAGCAAGGCATTATTGGATAAGGAATAATTTGGATATAAAAATCACTGATCTTTCTTGGACATTCCAATGATTTGTAGTAGGACAGAATATTTGAGATTAAGCTTCTTCTGTTAAATATAAGATATATTATGCTCATCTTAAACATTTCCCAGATTTTTTTGGGGGGGGAGGGGGTCTGGTTGTGGGGCCTGAACTCTGGGCCTGGGCGCTGTCCCTCAGCTCTTCAGCTCAAGGCTGCGCTCTACCACTTGAGTCACAGCGCCACTTCTGGCTTTTTTCTTTTTGCTTATGTGCTGCTGAGCAATCGAACCCAGGGCCTCAGGCATGCAAGACAAGCGCTCTACCACTGAGCCACCTTCCCAGTCCTTAATGGCCAATTTCTTAATATTGAATAAATTTTGTAGACTTAGAATCTTTAATATTATGGAGGATTTTCACTGGAAAAAAGATTAAGGGCCAATGTGTCCCATGAGAGTTCTTCAATACCAGACATAAAAATGTGTCTGTGTTTAGATTAACAGTTAGACAAACATTTTAAATGAGTTCATATACAGAGTAGAATACAGCTTGTTGTTGTTGTTTTATCCTAACAGACATCCATTGTAGTAAGATACTTTCATCATTATAGTAATGAAGGTTTTTTGGTGGGCATGTGGAGACCACTTCTCCATAACTAGAGACTGAACTATCTTTGGCTAGAATTTGTACTTTCAAATGCTTTGAAAAGTTTTATCAAGTGCTGAAACTCTTGCTAGCAATCAGTAAATATTTGTAAATTTTTATGAATAAAACAGATATCTTTTCTGTAAGGCATGTTTTTAAAATTTCATATCCTGTCAAGAGATGTTAGAAAATTACTTATAATTTTATAATTACTTATACTTTTAAACTAGGAACAAAAATTCAAATATCCTTGCAGATGTTTTAATAAATAATAGCATTTATTTCTTCACAGTTCAGAGAGAGTCCTGGCTTGCTAAGAGAACATTAATTTAACAAGAAGAAAATATTTATTCACATTTTTAGGATATGCATCACCAGTCAACCTCTTAATGTTTACTTCATATATGTGTTTTTCTATATACCTATGTCAAGAAGTTAATAGATTTCCAAAATATTTTATAAAGTCAACCAGTTTGTTATATCTGATATTAAATGCCTACTGGAGTTTAAGAATGTTCTGGAACTAATGGAGCATACTGAGGAATGTTGTCTATAGCTCTTGATACCATTAAAATTACCTTACTTTCCTCTGGCACTGTGTCACATTTTGCTCCAAATAGGTGCTTACTTAAAACTTAGTGCAAAAACAATGAGAATTTCTCTGCATAGTTATTTTTTCCTATTTGTGATGCCAAATCAGAGAGAAAACGTTATGGAATTTACTGCTTTATCACTATAACCTATCTATTACCCTTTCTTGTCCTATATGGAGAACACTATCTTTTTTATATTTAACTTGATGTATCTAAAAATGTTAAAACTCAGATTGTGGACTATACCCTTATTCAGCCACCTTGGTTTTGTTTCCATTATGAATACACATCCTCACTATTGTAGGACACTGTGACTAACTCTACCACTTGAGCCATGCCTCTAGCACAACTTTTTGCTGGTAGTTTTGGTAATTGTATCTCATAGATTTTCTGTCTGTACTGGCTTTAAACTAAGATCCTGTATATCTCAGCATCTTGCTTGAGTATCTAAGATTACTGGTACAAGCCATCAGCACTCAGATTTAAACAAGATATTTTGTTTATCATTTAGTAAGCAATGTTTCCCCATGATACCTTCTGCACAGCTCTGACCTTATCATAACCAGGTAGATTATAGAAATAGGAGGATAAGGATTTCTTCATGAGACAGAGTTTCTGTGTCACACAGGTTATCATGAAGTTTCATAACTGAAATGATTATCCTGCTACTGTCTCTCAATATCTGTGATATAGGTATACACCATCACTCAGGGCAAGGTTATAGAATTATAATATACAAATAGCTACTTGCTGATTACCTCTCATCTCTTCAAGAAATTTCTAAGCATTGACCCTTAAATGTAACTATGCTAATTCTCCAAGGAAGCTATACAAATCTTCCTAAATTCAGTTTTCTACTCATGTATAGCCAATTCTGTCAGCATCATTTGTTGAACAGGCTGGCTTTCTTCCATCCTATGTTTTTGGCTTCCTTATCAAAGATTATGTGGCCTTAGGTCTCTGGGTTCATTTCTGGGTTTTCAATTCTGTTACATTGATCCTCAGGCCTGTTCATGTGCCACTATCAAGCTGTTTTTATAACTATGGCTTTATAGTAGATTTTGAAGTTTGGTATTGGCTATACACATGTAGAAGACCAAAGTTTAATCCTTATATATCACCCTGTGCCAGAATCAATTCCAAATAAATCAAAGACCTCAATGTAAGATCAGATACTCTGAAAATATTACAGGAAGGGAAGGGATAGGGGAAACACTAGGGCTTCTTGGCACAGGTGGAAACTTCCTAAGATCCAGAAACAACGAATCAAAAAAAGGCTGGATAAATAGGATTGCTTTAAACTGCAGAGTTTCTGCATGGCAAAGAACATATCTTGCATTGTTTTTAACGTATTTATAATGTACTATGTGATTTTTTTTGTTTCTTTTGTATGTTCTTCCCCCATGGTATAACCCCTGTTTTCACTGTGTTTGATTCCAGTGCCCTGCATCTTGTATATACATTTTTCTAATTTGGGGAGGGGAATAGAAATAACAAAATGCTGAAATAAGGATAAAAGTTGATCCATTGTAACAGTGAGATGTACAAGACACTATGTTGAAAATGAACTTTACAAGTTCAGGGTGGTGGGGGGAGAAGTTAGGGAAGTGGAGAGGGAAGGGATGATAGGGGAAAAACAAAGTAGGAGGTAACAGTGCTGGATAGGAAAAGTACTCATCACCTTACTCATGTAACTGTAACCCTTCTGTACAGTATTTTTACAATAAAAAACATATAAAAAAAAGAACATAACTTGCAGGATATAGAAAACCTACAGATTGGGAGATCTTCACTAGCTATGCATCAGACCAGGGCCTCATATCTAAAATATACTTAGAGCTCAAAAACTTAACCCCCCCCAAAAAAATACAAAAAACCCAGAACCTCATTAATAAGTAGGCTAGTAGGAGAGGGATGGGTAATGCAAGTAGGGCAAAGTGGGTGAGTATGGTCAAAATACTTTATATACATGTATAGTGAGGCTTGTTGAGATTGGTTTTTGAAGGGGGCCAGGGAGACGAGACAGAGTGATGGAAGAAATGAGTCTGATCAAGAATAATTTGGATGCATATATGAATCTGTCGGCGTGAAACTCCTTTATACAACTCATTGATACCTATGAAAAATGTGAAGGATAAATAAGCTTCCTAAGGGAACCTGGGGAAAGTGATGCTCCTGAACTGTAAAGTTGATAAGTAATGGGAAAGAAATAAGGAAAGGTAAAGCAGTCAAAATTATTTGTTCATGTACTTTATGGTAATGAGGTTTTGAACTCAGTTCTTCAACTTCTGTGTAGGTGCTGTACTACTTGAGCCAGAATTCCATCCCAGTACTTTGTTTTTTATTAGAGTAAGCCATTTGGGGTTTACTGTTATGTAAATGGTTTAGCTGTACTTTGTTCTTTATTAGCTTCTTTATGATCTCCACTAGGAATATTTACTTCATAGCTATTCATGTTTTTTACTTCTTTGGCTTCTCATTTTTACATATGTGCTGTCAGTTGTTAGGTACTCATTATTCATATCTCTAAAATATTATCAAAGCCAAACATTAATATTTTTAGCCTTTTATGTATGAACATTCCATGCTAGTGGTTATGCAGTCCCCTATGTTAATACATTAATAATGTTTCTATTTTGTTCCTATGCCTAGAAGCTTAAGCATTGTGTTTGTACTTCTAAATGAATAAAAATGACCTCATTTGTCTCATAATTTTTCAAATAAACAGCTTAATAGAGAAATCTCACATGAATATATAAAAAGATATTGATTGATTTTACTAATGTGTCCAAAGCAAAAATCCTGTTACATAAATTATTGTATGAAAAATTAATGAAGCTTCTCATAATTTATCAAATGTAGTACAGAAATATTCTTTTAAAGACATCATACTTATATGTAAAATATAAATTTATACTATTTTTATAAGCTTATATATTATTCTAATATTACTTTTTCAATAGCATAGACAGCATAGCACTTGCCTGTTCTGCTACTGGTTAGTTTTTGTGACGTTGAGCATATTATTTCAGGCTCCATCTTATAATAAGATATTTCATAGAGACAGCATCAGAATTAAGCCTTAGTGCATTTATAGTATATATTAAGCTTTATATATTAATTTATGTTTCAGTATCTACATATCTGTTTCCTAAGAGGAAATATAAAAGCTCACTGATGTCAGTATTAGGTCTTTAAATGTTGTGGGGTTCTCTTTGTTTACTTTTTGGTTTTGTTACTTTTTTATGTTACTTAATTTCTTGATAAAAAAATACCAGTTTTTTCAGTGTTGGATGATTGCAGAAGACTTGATCTTTAACATTAAGTCCAGGAAATGATGTAAGTTTTTTTATCATGAATATTTATGAGATCATTAGAAGCCAAACACCTTTCCTTTGAGTAAGAATATTGAATTTACATTGAGTAATATTGCATAATAAATATTTCTTTTTTCAGGTGCTTATGCAACAGGGATATGATGCTGCTTGTGATATATGGAGTTTAGGAGTCCTTTTTTACACAATGTTGGCTGGGTAAGAAACATATTCATACTGTTATTTGTATTTCAATTACATATCTGGGTAGAGTACAGATAGAAAAAAAATTAAGAAAAATTACATAAATATTTTAAAATGTATAATATGTATAATAATACAATTTTAAACATAATAGAAAAATGTTTCATGAGGCACTATTAGGATAAAATTTGTGAGACTCTTTATCTCCAATTACCACCAAAAATCTGGAAGTAGATGTATAGCTCAATTGGTGGAGTATCAGCCTTGAACGAAAAAGCTGAGGGACAGTGCCCATGCCCTCAGTTCAAGCCCTAGTACAAAGCAAAAACAATGAATAAAGTGTATATTTTTATGTTGATATTTTATGTTGAATATAATATTGTTGACTACATTTACTGTGTCCTAATTGCATATTTCATCAAGCATTTCTCCACTCAACTTATTGATACTTAAGTGTTTTTTTTCAAGTTCTTGAATTCTGGCTCACTGACAATATAAATTTTTTTTGTAAGCACACAAAGAAGGAATTTTTATTTTTTAAAGAATAAAACCAAATTTATTTCAATATGGTCATGTCAATTAAATTGCATTCAATCATTTTATGGTTTAGCAGAAAGAGCCAAACATGGCAATGCCTTGAATTAACAGTAGGATAAGCAAAGTTATGAACCAGAAAAGCAAAATTATAGTGAATGGTGGTTTACCCTAGAAACGTTAAACATAAAACATGAATTAAAAATCAACTAGGGGGGGAGGGGGAAGGGCGGGGAGGATTGGGTAGAGGGGTGGGGAGAGGATGGGAAGGGATGGAAAGGGGAAACAAAGGAGGAGGCTACAATGCTTGACAACAAACGTACTCATTATCTTGTCCATGTAATTGTAACCCCTCTGTACAGTATTTTCACAATAAAAAAAGAAGTAAATAAAAAAATCAACTGCAAATTTTTCAACATTTTGTATGATAATGTTTTACAAAAATATTATTTTGAATTTACTTAATATATACACAAGAGCATGTATTTTTCCTCTTTTTTTCTTTTTCCTTTTTTTTGGCAGCATACTTGTTAAGGCCTCATCTAACACTAAACTATTCCTCCAGTCTTGTTTTCGGTGTTACTCATCCTTAACTTTTAATTTTTATAATAAAGGTGATGTATAGAGAATTTATTAGTTACATAAGACACTGACAATATAAATTTAATGAGACTATACTTTTAAAAAACATTCAAATGAAATACTGAACTAAAGAAGCATTCTTATTACTGCTTTCTCTTAAAAGGATAAAGATAAAGCTTGACACAAGTATGTAAATAATTTGTAATATGAGTAGTACTTTTATAATAGTATAATAATATAAGTAGGGCTGTTAGTAAAAAGTATGAATTTATGGTTATAGAGATTTTTCTGATAGAGGCAAAGTCCATACTCACAAGTAAGTATATACTTTTGCATGATTTATAAAATTAGTCTATTTTTACTGTAGTTAATGAATACATATGTAAATATTTTCCATATCAAATGCAGTCAATATTACTTTTAAACCACAGGATGCTATTTCTAGCTTACTACTTTTCAGTTATTTGCTTTATGATTATACAAGAAGTGACTGTGTATGTGAGTGCCTAGTTTCTTAATTCTATGAGGGCATTGACATTAAGTTTGAATATAATTTCAGTATTACTGTTAAAATGATAGAGATATGATCACCTTTAAATTCTTTAATTTTTAAAAACTATTTTCAGCTTATATATTTATCTTTCCATCCAAGAATAAGTTGGTCTGCAATTGATTGAGTGTAGAATTTTTTTATTGATATCGATAGCTATTCCATTTTTATAGATATTCATTAAATAGATGGACTTATTTCCACTTATAATATTGATAAAAATAACATGCTACTGAATAAATGTTAACCAATATAATAAATGCATTATAAGTATATAAAACTAATATTTTCTTCATAGCAGGTATATTTCCTTGGTAACTTTTGGCTGGGAGAAATTTGTGTGTTTTAATGTGGTCTGGTAATAAAACTGTAGGTTTATATCTATCTATTTTACATTGTTTCACTGATCAAAGACAAAAAAGAAAATAGTCAAGGATCTCCAATTTATTAGGATTAAATTCATTGTCTGAAATATAAAATTCCATGAGAAGAAGTATTAGGTTATGCTCTTATTTTGTAGTAAATATTTGTATGTAGTCTTATTTTGATTGCTTTTGCTTATATTTAATATTTGTATTGCCTCTTATGTCCATTAAACTTTATTTTATTAATAGGTATACTCCATTTGCTAATGGTCCCAATGACACTCCAGAAGAAATACTGCTGCGTATAGGTAATGGAAAGTTCTCTTTGAGTGGTGGAAACTGGGACAATATTTCAGATGGAGCAAAGGTATACATAAATCTATTCTGTTGGAATTCATGTTAAAATGCTAAAGTCTTTATGTTCTCATGTATATATCTAGTGGTGCCACGTATTTGTTTTTAGTTAATTTAACTCATTTATCAATTAATGAAGGCACAGAATTATTTTTTCCATGAGATTTGGAGCATCATTCTTTCTGACCATCTTATATGTGTTCAAGGAATATAAACCCACTTTCTATATTAACCAAAACAAAAAAGGCAAATCTGAAGAAGGCTACATATGTAAAGTTTATTTCTGGACTTAGTGTATTTTTCACGTCATCTTCAAGTATAGAAATTGTCTGTTAATAATATGCAGTTATTTAAATTGTTTTATTTTCAGTTGGCACATAGTTGCATGTTTGTCAAGTACAGTGTGACATCTCATGACAAGTATATAATGTGTAATGATCAGGTTAGGGTAAATGTAGCAAATCTGTCACCTCAAACATTTATCATTTCTTCTGCCTCAGGAATGTTGAAAATCGAATGTATGAGCTATTTTGAAATATATAGTTAATTGTTGACAACCATATTAGAAGTTATTCCATCCAGCTGCCTACTGTACACATTAAGTAGCCTCCATATATAAATCCCCTTTCCCCACACCTTACCAGGCTCCACTATATCACTATCTCCACTACTCTACCTTTTTTTATAAAGGTGATTTACAGAGGGATTACAGCTACATAAGTAAGGAAACAAGTACAATTCTTGTTGAACATTGTTACCCCCCTCCCTTATTTTTTCCTCCAGGGAGGGATAGCATCTCTACCTCCCAAAGTTGTAAAGTTCATTTCCAACATATTGTCCTGTGGCTATCTCTGTTGTATTGGTTCACTGTTTGTCCTTTGTCTCATCATTTCTATGATTTCCTTTCCCAAATCAGATAAACAAAGATTATAGCTAGCAAGATCAACAGAAAGCCACAGATAGGGAGAAGATCTTCACTAGCTATACAACAGACAAGGGCCTCATCTCTAAAATATATGTAGAACTCAAAAAATTAACCCCCCCAAAAGATAATTACTTAAAGAAACAACCACCCCATTAATAAGTGGGCTAAAGACTTAAAGAAAGATATCTCTGAAGAGGAAATAAGAATGGCCAATGGACACATGAAGAAATGTTCAACATCTCTGGCCATAAAAGAAATGCAAATCAAAACAGAATTGAGATTCCACCTCACCCCAGTATAATGTCCATTATCAAGAAAACAAATAATACCAGATACAGGCAGGGATGTGGCAAAAAGAGAACGCTACTACTGTTGGTGGAATGAAAACTTACTCAACCACTCTGAAAGCATTATGGAGGTTCTTCAAAAGGCTAAACATAGAGCTCCCCTATGACCCAGCAATCCCACTCCTGGGCATTTACCCAAATGACCACAAATAAGGCCACACTAACACTACCAGCACAACTATGTTCATTGCAGCATTATTTCCCATACCAAGACATGGAATCAACCAAGATGCCCCTCAGTGGATGAATGGATCAAGATAATGTGGTATATATACACATTGGAATTCTGTTTCCATCAGAAAGAATGGCATTGCTCCATTTGTAAGGAAATGGAAAGACTTGGAAAAATCGTATTAAGTGAAGTAACCAAGACCCAAAGAAACATAGCCTGCAGGGTCCCCCCCCATTTGTAATAATTAGTATATATCTAGGATAGTTCTATCAGAGAATCACAATAGCTCAATAGCTGTGTACATATAACCTTATAAAATGATGCTAATCAAAATTAACTACAAGATACGGAAATGAGGTATTTTCCCTTTTACTCCCTGTTGTCACTGTTTTTTAATTTCATACCCTTTGTATTGTATATGTTTATCTCCTTTCTTCTTCTATGAGACATTTTAGCTTCCATGTATAAATGATAATATTTATTTTTCTTTCTATACCTCATTTGCTTTACTTGAAGTGATTTCCTCTGGTTCAGTCCATGTTTCTGCAAATTTCAGAATTTTGTTCTTTCTTGGGCTGAATAGTCTTTTATTATGTATATATGCCATACTTTAAAAACCATTCACTGTCTGTGGAAATCTAAATTAATTTAATCTCTTAGCTATTATGAATGGAGTGTGCAAGTATCTCATAAATGTCATCATTTCATTTCCTTTGGATATGCGGGAACATATAAAAGTTTTAACCTCAACTTTTTTGGGAAACTTCCATGCTGTTTTCCATAAAGGATATAGTAATTTACATTCCTCCCAACATTGTATGAGAATTTTCTCTGCATCTTTGTTAGCATTTGTTACATTTTTCTTTTTTTTGGGGGGGCGGGTCCGGTCGTGGGGCCTGAACTCTGGGCCTGGGCACTGTCCCTCAGCTCTTCAGCTCAAGGCTAGCACTCTACCACTTGAGACACAGCGCCACTTCCGGCTTTTTTCTTTTTGCTTATGTGGTGCTGAGGAATCGAACCCAGGGCCTCAGGCATGCAAAGCAAGTGCTCTACCACTGAGCCACCTTTCCATCCCTGTTACATTTTTCTTTTTAGCATAGTTATTCTGAAGCCTTTATATGATTATCCCTTGGGTATTATTTAATACATTTGTTGACGATTTCTATATCTTTTGATAAGTACCTATTTAGTGCATTTACCTATTTTGTCAAATTGGAGTATTTGGAATTTGGAATATTTTTTATTGTTGTTTTTGAGTTGTTTATATATTCTGAATATTAGTCTCACTGCAGGTGGGTAGTTTTAAAGTATTTTTCCTATGCTTTATGTTACTTATTTTCTTGTATGTTTCCTTTGTGATTCAGAGTTTAATTCAATCTGTCCACTTTTCCTTTTGTTTCGCTCTTTGAGAATATATGAACAGTGAATAACTCCACGATATTTATTGTTGATAGTTTGGTGTTATACAATAAAAACATAATACAAACCAGATAATATAGTTTTAAATTTTCAGATAGCCACATACAAACCTTTAAAAAAGTGAAAATAAATGAATTTTATTGAACCTGGTGCATCCAAAATATCACTTCATCTAATTCATATATAAATATTAGAGAGATTTTTGCATTGTTTATATTATGTTTTCAAAATATGGTATGTACTTCATACAGCTCATATAAATCTGGACTACATATATAATTCTTAAAATCTGCTTCTAGCTACTGGCTAACATATTCTACAGTGCAGTTTCATAGTAACTTGTCTTATTTACTGTAGAAAAAAATTGATGTCATAGGATGGGAAATGTATTTACTGATATCACAGAGTGAGTCATTAGTGGTCTGTGGACTTGAACCTGCCCATTACTGACTGACTCTGCAGTCTTATTTTAAACTCTATGTGATTTGAAGTTAATAAAGATTAATTGTTAATGAAAAAAAGAAAGAATAGTCAAAGCTTGAATACTAATTTCTTATGCAATTTATAACATTTTTAAGTTTTAAAGGAAAAACTCTAAATGTCAGCATGTGGCTTATGGGGGTCTGAGGCTTGTAAGGTACAATTTAAAGTAGAATAAAAATTATAGACACATAAAACTTATTTGTGCTAACTATAAATCTTTAGTGTACTAAAAACCATAGGTATTTATATAGTATATTAGAACGTTTTTTATTCTCACCATAGTAGAATAAAACAAATATCTATTTGTCATTACTTCTTAAACATGTGATGGGATTGTGTTTGATTCTTACCAGCAACCCAGATATGCAGTGATATATAGTAGAATGAACATCTGACTGGAAGCCAGGAGAACTGAGTGCTTATCTTTGATCTTCTCCTAATTAGCTGTCTGTATTTTCATCTATAAAATGTAAAGCATTAATTAAACCTTTGGTTTCTTCTGATGTTGAAATTCTATTTCTATATTGTTTGGTTAGTTTGGTTCTTTTGTAATTTATCAGACTTCTCTATAAAAAATGCTCAGAGCAACTGTTATTTAATTAAATATGTATTTTCTAGACATTCCATTCTTATCCTTAGAATCAATTCCAATGTATCAATTAATATATATGATCGTAAGATATTCCATTAAATAAAATTGACACTGTTCTGTTCTCTACTTCAGTGAAATCAAACTTTCTTAGATTCTACAAGTGAGATCAAATAGTATTTTGTCTTTCTGTGTCTGGCTTATTTTGCTTATTATTAGTCATTTACTTTCATTAATGTCAATTGTAAATGACAGAATTTCATTCTTTTATGTAAATGTTTATATATTTTCTTCATTCATCATTTTGGACACTTAGGTTGCTTTCATATATTGGATACTGTGAATTGTGCTGCAATAAATATGAGAAGGTAGAAATTTCTCCAGTATACTGATTTTATTTCCTTTGATATACTCTGTAGTGGGATTGCTTGGACTATAGTATAGGGAATGAGGAAAGATTGATTACTGGATATAAAGTTATATTTAACTAGGAATAAGCTCTGATGTTATATTGTACAATTGAGTGACTAATCAGTGTATTGTATATGTAAATATATATTTGCATATACATCATACACATTTTGCTGATACAGTTGCTTTTTTGCTTAGCTTGCTTGCTAATGCCTGGCACACTACTACTTGAGCCATACCTCCAACAGTGTTTTTTGGTGGTTAATACAAGATGGAGTCTCACAGACACTTCTGTTCAGGTTGACTTCAAACCACTATTCTCCAGATTTTGGCAGCTAGAAGTACAAACATGCGCCACCAGAGCCAAGCTAATATACTGGATATTTCAAAATACCCAAGACAGTTGATTTGGAAACTTCTCACTACAGAGAAATAATCTATATTTTAAGTAATGAATTTGCTAATGACTTTGATTTGATTAGTATGCTGTGTGTTGCTGTGTTGAAATATCACATTGAGCCTCATCAGTAGGCATAAATATTATGTCAATTAAACTTTAAAAACAAACTGACACAGTGAAAATAATCTCAAACAGGGTTGAGGAGTTATGTGCCAGCTGTGGTTGTCAGTTTTTTATGTTCTATGTGTTTGGATCTGTCTAGGTTAA